ACAAATTCAAAACATGCTCTTGACCATTAATTAACTTTGAACACAAAAAGATTACACCTTAAACTCATGAATTCAAGAATCAATGCTTACCTAGAAGCCCAATCTATGGTCAATTCTTGAACTAGACTTCAAATTCCCAAGCTTGAGTCAAAAATTACACAATTCTCTTCCTCTCTTTCTCTAACAGCCGGCCCCTCTCTCTTTCTTAGAGTTTGATCAGCCCAAGTGAAGCTAAAGGAGATAAATGAGGGTAACACAATTAATAATTTTAAATAGTTAGGCACTAATTCACCAATTTAATCAACTTAATCTGGTCCGAATCAATTTTTCAATTAAACTTCACCGTAGGCTCTAAAAATTATGCCAATCACAATGGCGCAATCAATTTCGAGTTCTGTGGCCGATAAGGCCCTCAATTTAATTTCCAAAGCAAATAGTCAAACAGATATTCCTACGGTGAACAGATAGAAATTCAAAACCACATATATTCACATAATGGCACACAAAATCATATTAATCACATATTCATACTCAAATTAATGACCAATTAGCATACCACGGAACAGGGGTATCACAGGTACAGTCAATCGTTCAGAAATAATTATAATTGAACGTATCTTTACAACATTATTACTCACAGAGTACTGGGCTATAGGCAAGCTAATGAGCGTCCTCGGATGCCAACCCTACAGTTGCAAAACGAACACACACCCGAGATTAATAACTTAGCCTCTAACTATACTTGGTGTGGTTTTATAACATTATCCCCATTAAGATGCCTTAAACATGGCCTAGGAATGCCTAGGATGGAATGAGGATGCAAAAATTACACTTTAAAACACTTTTCAAAATTTGCTGAAATAGGGGTCCACGCTCGAGCGTGCCTTTCTACGCTCGAGCGGACATGCAGACAATGAAGCTCCGCTCGAGCGTGAGACTCAGACCCTCGCTCGAGCGTGAATTCTCTCGCTCGAGCAGACTGTAAAACACATGAACTTCTGGGCATATGCATTTCACGCTCGAGCGTACTTTCTTCGCTCGAGCGGAAGTACATGTACTCAGAGTGTACGCTCGAGCGTAAAATCCTCCGCTCGAGCATGGATCCAAAATCTGGAATTTCCAGATTGATCCTCAAGCACAAAACTCAACTTCTAAAGCTTCAAACTCGATTCTTTTGGGCTAGTTTTCTAGAAAAACACTTGAAAACTCATACCGCAACATGTTTTGAAGATCATTTGATAAAATCAAAGCCCAAAGGTAAGCCAATTGTACATCAATTTCAAATAAACTTAAAGAACAATGCAAGAACATAACATGCATGAGTTCTTATGAATTCCAATGCTCTAAAACATGATCAAATGCAAGATTGAACTCAAAATCATGGTGAATTCATGGACTATAACCAAAACATGGACTTGCATGTAAGAATTTTCATGAAAATAACTTCAAAATACTATGATATGTACATGCATGCAAGAATGGACTCCACATTAAGCTAATTCTTGACTCAAATCACTAATCTTTCCATGAACCATGCATGTAACAACTCAAATTCATGATCAAGAAGGTGAATCTCCTACCTTAGGTCTTGAATTCCAAGTATGCTAGCTCAATTTTGCAAAACCTCTTCAATTCTTCTAAGTTCAAGCAAAATTTGTAGTTGAATTCAATTCTTTTCTCACACTCCCTCTCTCTCACGGTTTTACAAGAAGATGAATGAAAAGAGGTGTGTCAACATATAAAAAGTGTAAGGAGTGTTAGTCTAGAATTAGGCCACTTAGTGGCAAAAGTGTAATTTACTTAAACTAATGTAATTTAACTTTATTTAATCTAATTTAATCATTCCAAATCAAATTTTAATTAAACCTACCATAAAATCACATAAATCCTAATTAGCATATAACACTAATCAATTTCTGATTTGGTTGCCGATAAGACCTTCAATTCGCAGTTCGAATTTAAAACGTAAACAGATCTTTCAGTAATCAAACAGATAGAAATGCATTTAATGCAACACACTCATACAAACAGATTAGGATTTCATTCTAATCAATTACTTATCATGCTCAATCACAGTTTAACACTAATCAGAGGTGAGGGTTGTCACAAACAACCTCTGACAATCACCTCTGGCAACCTCCAGCGCTTATATCCAACAACCACTTCAGTGACAGTTCCTAGCGTCATTTTTTAGCAAAAATAACATCCATCTACATCACATCACATCACTACTATCACTATCTCCTAAGATCTGATGGCAACAAGAGGAGAAAAAGAAAATGAAGAAGAATGTGTGTGTGTGTGTGTGTGTGTGTGTGTGTGTGTGTGTGTGTGTGTGTGTGTGTGAGAGAGAGAAGATGAAAAGGAAAAAGAAAAGGAAAGGAAAAGGAAAAGGAAAAGCCTTAGTAAAGAATTGTTAGCCTTCGTGTCGTAGATCAGCATAACTATACATTTACTATCTGCTCTTTGTCCTCTTTCCAACGATAAATTTATCACTGACAGATTGACTCATCCAACATATTCACATCTACAATGACAAATTAATGATAAATTCATCACTGTATAAATATAAAAAATCAACAACAATATACAGCATATTCAACAAATCAATGATAAATTTATCACTAATAGATTAGTCATACTGCATATTCATCTCTCTCTAGCGACAAAAATGATAAATTTATTATTGATTGTTTGTTAAAAAAGTACAAAAAGAAAATCTCATCATCATCATCACAAATTAACACAAGATTCAAAGACATATTCAATAATAAATTTATCAATGATAAATAAACACATTCACTGATAAATTTATCATTAGTTGTTTGTTAAAAGATTATCAAAAAAAAAAAAAATGTTGTCATCATCGTCACAAATCAACATAAGATTCAAAGAAATATATCAGTGATGCATTTATTATTGATACAGCAGATTGGTTTAAGAGAAATAAAAAGAGAGAGGGGGAGTGAGAAAGAGGGAGGTAATAAATATAACATGAACAAAAATCAGTGATAAATTTATCATTGTATTAATATCAAAATTCCAACAGTAACAGTCCACAACATATTAAACAAATCAGTGATAAATTTATCATTGAATTAAGTAATAAATTCATCAAATTAGTTCAACTTGTTTTACAAATGTAGATCTTCACCAACACACTGTAAAAAGAGTCTCGATCTCATCAGCGACCATGTAAAGTACCAGATCAGTGCCGAAGATGGTAGATCGGCATTAAAAACAACTAGATTCGAAGCCATTGGTGAAGTTCGACGTTGAAGATGGTGGATTAATGATTGAAGAAGAACGACGGTGATGGCAAATGGTGGATGGAGGAAGAACGACGATAATGGCAAAGAGGGAGGAAGAAGACAATGTTAGGCGAACGTATCAAACAATTGAAAGATGGTGAGGTATAGATCGACGATGGTAGAGATGGTTCGTGAACAATTGTGGTGGTACTGGCCGACGAAGGTGGTGGTGGTGACCAGTAGAGGTGGTGGTGGTTAGTAACGGATGACAATGGTGGTTGCAGGTGAATGACCATAGCCATAACTACAATGGTGGTATTTTCAAGAGAGAGAGAGAGAGAGAGAGATATGAGAAAAAATAAGAGTTTCGAAAAAATGATCAAGAGAGACGTTAGCACAAATTGAAAAAAATAATAAGTATTATAAACAAATAAAGATTTAGAAAGTGTTTGGGGTGATTTAAATAGAGATTTTTACCAGCTGGTAGTAGGGGTTAAATCGGAATAAAAAAAAAAAACATAACAGGACTACTTAGTGTATGAGATAGAAACTTAAAACCTAATAGATTATAGATTCAATTATTGAAACCGACCGGTAAAAATTTCATAATAAAATGATAGGGTTGATCTATGATTTTTATGTACAACAAGTTATATACAAAAATTATTGGGCTGGTCTATGATTTTTAAATAATAAAAATATCCACGAATGTGAATTTTAATATTAAAAATATTATGTGAAATTACTAAAAGAAATTAAGATTTTCCTTTTATAATAAAAAAAAATAATTTAAATTTCATCAATTAAAATTCTAATTTTTTTGATTCATTCTAAATTATTCACTTATTTTTTAAAGTAAAATTTAAATATATATATATATATATATATATATTTTTTAATCATTAACATTTATGAATATTTACCAATAAATCTCATCTCACAAACAAATATTCCAATTAGTCCTAAGTTTTTTCTATTGATCTATTAAATTCTATTAGTGAAGAGTTTCCTTTCGTGTGGTTTTATTTTTGTTTTGGTAGTGTTTTGATAGACAGTTATAACTTTTTATTAATGTGACAGGTATGATGTAATACTCCAATGTGACAGATATTAATATGACATTTCAAAAAAATTAAAAACTCCTGTGTGCTTTTTTTCAAATGTGACAATGTGACAGGTATGATGTGATACTCTTATACTTTTATTTCAAAAAAACTAAAAATTTCTCAAATGTGATAATATGACAACTATAATGTGACACTCTAAAAAAAATTAAAAATTTCTTAATATATTTTTCTCAAACGTTACATGTGACATTCTAACGTGACGGATATGATATAACACTAAAAAAAAAAAATTAGTATACTTTTTCTAAATGTGACACTCTAATGTGGCGATTATGATGTGATATTAAAAAAATTATTAGTATACTTTTTTTAAATGTGACATTCTAATGTGACAAGTAAATGAATCATTAGACATCCAAAAGGACTAAATAGATCACAAAAGAAAAAAGACTACATAGATTATAAGTAAAATATAGAATTTATTAGTCAATCTCCCTTAAATTTAATGTAACATAAAATGTCTAAATACTATTTTCTATTGATTTTAATAACTGAAATTAAAATATTATTTTTTTAAATTAATTAATAAAAATAGATAAATAATTTAAATTTTTTTAAAAAAATCAACCTCCAAAATTTTCCTGTAAGAAAAAGCGACTTGAGCGCGTCCATTCAAATCCGACCGTTGTGAGATCTTTACCCATTCCCCTCCAGTGCCCCCATTCAAACAAACAAAGAACGATTGAGCGCCCTCCAAAGAACGATTCAAACAATCCGTCCATTCTGTTCCCTCTCTTTCTCTCAACCCTCCAACCTTTCCTCTCTTTCTCTCTCTAAAACTTCCTGTCTCTCATGGGGATCGCTGCAGAGACACAGCCAGAAGAGAAGGTAAAACAAAAAAAATGCTTGGTTCTTTGATAAATTTTAACTGTTTTGGATTCTAGGGTTCCCTCGCCCCCTTGAATTAGGGTTTTTTTCTCGTTTTTCTGTCTAATTGTGCTTCTTCTCTTGGTAAACATGCTTGGTTCTTTCAAATTGTTTGGTGGTTTCGAGCGCATAGGGTTTCTATTGCCCCATTTTGGGGGAAATTTGATTTTTCTTCTCATCTTTATGTTACGTTAGGCTTGGATTCTGGAAAATGTTGGATAAGGAACGATAAGAAGTTTAAATTTGGAGTCTTGGAGTATTGCTGAGAAAGAAACAGTTTTCTTCACGGAAATGTGACTAATTCAACATATACTAGGAAAATTGAGAATATTATGTTATTTTCCTGGAGTTTTGCGAGCAACCAAACAGAAAATTTATGTTATACATTCTCTCTCTCTCTCTCTCTCTCTCTCTCTCCCTCTAACTCGGTTTTCCTAATTCCTTTTCCTTTATTTGGAAATGGTAGTTTTGAGGTTAGATTGTGTAGACTAGTGCATCATCATAGGTAAATGCACTGGCGTAGTTTTGGGTTTAGAGTTAGTAAACTTGGAATTTGTGAGTTGAGCATACAGGCATGTGATTTCTGATGGGTAATTGTAAGTTCTGTTTGTAATGACAAAGAATTTCAGCAACCCTTTTTAAGCTAACTGAAATAAATGGAGGATTTGAAGAAAAATTTATTCTTATTCCTTTGGCACCAAAAATGAAATCTGGGTTTCAAGTGTTAGTTTGGCAAAAATATTTTAGGGCTTAATTGGATGGCAATTATGGGTGTTTCAGTATCTGTTTTGCTTTTCCTACTCTATTATGAACTGGTTGTTGTGCTGTCAGCATGGTGATGTTGTTAATTCTTTTTTCACTTTTGTAGGCTTCTTCAGAGGTAATAGCAGTGGGGAAAAGGTGGACTCTCAATGACTTTGACATTGGAAAGCCTCTTGGAAGGGGAAAGTTCGGCCATGTTTATCTGGCAAGAGAAAAGGAGGTCAGTGGTCTTGAATTCTATTTTATGTTCCAGAAATGTTAGCTTTGGTGAATCACTGTGTGTATTAACTTTATTGTGGTTGGAGTAATTTGTTTTCAGTTAAATATGTGCTTGATGTATTATGGATTGGGTACATATTGCCATTGGATTTGGGTTTTGTTATATGATAACAGGCTCAGCCATTGCCCCTTATTAAATGCAATTTATGCAATTTTGTTAGTTTCTCTACCTTGGTGTTTGCTATCTTCTGTAAATTAGATTTTCATCTTTCCATTTTCATTTTTCAATTTTTGCCTTATCAGCAGCCAAACAGAGTGTTTTTATTCCATTTGATTGACTTTTCTGTGTTCTTCAATTTTTTGCCTCTGCAGTAGCAATATTGTATGTTTAATTCTGAGTTAGTCCGAAGATTTGAAAATAAAAGAGAAAAACCCAAATCTTTTTGGAGCTTGTAGTGTTATGCATAATGAAATCCAATGTAATTGAATCTATATATTATTTGTGAACAGAGCAATCATATTGTGGCACTGAAGGTGCTTTTCAAGAGCCAGCTGAAACAGTCTCAGGTTGAGCATCAGCTTCGCCGTGAAGTTGAAATCCAGAGTCATCTTAGACACCCTAATATTCTACGCCTTTATGGATACTTCTATGATCAGGTATGGTTGGTCTAGTAGTTCATCATACATACAGCTTTCCATATAGATAATTTGCCTGCTTTTATAGCCACCTGACTAGTTACCTCTTTTGGAACACAATCATTGCAGAAACGAGTTTATTTGATATTGGAATATGCAGCCAAGGGTGAACTGTACAAGGAGCTACAGAAGTGTACGTACTTCAGTGAAAGACGTGCTGCTACTGTGAGTATCCATGTCATAGTTACTTCTTTCTTTTTTGTCATTTGGCTTACAATTCCTAGTATATCTTGAGTCATGTTACTCTTTACTTCCAGAGGTCCTTTTTAGTTGGAACCCTGATACAAAGTTACCATTGGTTCTTTTCCATCAAAGTCAAGTATTTCAATTTTTTGCCTTGTGTTGCATCATGAATGGGATCTGTATATTTTCAGATTCCATGGGCAACATTATATTGACAATTTTAGTTTATTATCAAAACTGATTAAAAATTGTTGTTTTTGTTCATTGGGAATTGCAAACAGTATGTGGCGTCACTAGCTCGAGCTCTTATCTATTGTCATGGAAAGCATGTCATACACAGAGATATTAAACCAGAGAATCTTTTGGTTGGTGCACAGGTAAATAGCCTACGTCTTTTAATTGATTGTAGAGGATAAACCCGGTGCTTATTTTTATCAACATGGGATTTTTTTGTTAGGGGGAACTCAAAATTGCAGATTTTGGTTGGTCAGTACACACATTCAGCCGTAGGCAGACCATGTGTGGCACGCTTGATTACCTCCCACCTGAGATGGGTATGTTTATCTGATCTGACAAAGGATGCCACTATTTAAACTATTTGCTATTCCTCTCTATAATTCAGTTGTTTCAATTTACAATGTGAAATGCAACAAAAGTAACTCATTATAGCATATTGTAATCAACTGCCATGTTTGTTTTCTTTGCAGTGGAGAGTCTTGAGCACGATGCAAATGTAGATATATGGGGCCTTGGTGTCCTGTGCTACGAGTTCCTTTATGGGGTTCCTCCTTTTGAAGCAAAGGAACTCTCAGACACATACAGAAGGTGAGCTTGAAATGCAAAGTGGATAAAGATGATTAGAGATGATTTAAAATTACCTCCAAAGTTAATTTTATGAACGAGTTTGTGTTGAATGAAATTATATGATATTTTCAGTGTGAATCAATTTTAATCTTAGGGGTATGGCTTGCTTATTCTTTTGTACAGGATTATGCAAGTGGATTTGAAGTTCCCTACAAAGCCTATAGTCTCTTCAGCTGCAAAGGACCTCATTAGTCAGGTTCCAATTATCCTTAACATTTTAAATAGAGCTAATATTATAAGGTATCCACAGAGATAAAAGTTCAGAAGTCAGACATCTTTTTGTTCCTTCTCTCTCTCTCTCTCTCTCTCTCTCTCTCTCTCTCTCTCTCTCTCTCTCTCAATAACAGATGCTTGTCAAGGATTCTTCACAAAGATTGCCACTGCACAAGCTTCTTGAGCATCCATGGATTGTTCAGAATGCAGAGCCTTCTGGCATCTATAAGGGTTAATTAGCAGTGTCAAATGTGTTGGGGTTACAAAGTCGAATATCAATCAAGCCTCTAGTTCTGCAAGAATGCCAACAGCTCCACTTGAGTTAGTTGAATTCATAAAGTAATATAACCATAAATATGCTGTATTGTAAGGAGATTGAGACATTAAAATAGGTTTTCCTACATGAATCCGAGACAAAGTTGGAATGATCTTGTGCCACATTTTTTGGAGTTCATAACACAAATAATATTCTTTCATGTTACAGTTTTTTTGCCTCAATTGTGGTCTCTTAATCATATTGTTTGTTTAATAGTGGTGTGTTTTCGCCAAGAATTGAGTTGATTGATCTTCTGCAACTTGTTATCAGCACAAAAACCTGAAAGAGTAACATCTCTGTCATCCAATGGTGCAACTTTATTTTTATTTCATTTTGGTTAAATTTTGCTTTATGATAGAGTAATGTTAGAGATCTCAAAAATTCTACTCAATGTGTAATAGAATCTCTAACATTTTTGTTCATGATATTTAACAGAACCCGAACAGGAGTGGAAAATCATGCAGATTATAGTTTCTTAATAACTCTCTTGATTGTCTTGGAAACTAAAGCAAAAACCCTTTAGCCGACTTCAAATCCTCTCTAGTATTTCTTTCAAGCGACGGTCCAGATTGGGCCACGTCACCCTCAAAGAAATGGATAAATTTCAAAAAACACACTTTTTCTCGGACACTCTCTCTCTCTCTCCCTCCCTCACTCACACGCACACGTCCCACCGCACTCTCTCTCTCTCACACATTTCTAATAAAAAATTAAAAAATTTATTTTAATCCTTTTCATTTTATTTTAATAATATATATAATTTTTATAAAATTAATATCATTCAAAATATACTTTTAAAATGAGACTTTAACATTAAATATATTTAATAAAAATTTAAAATAAATAAAAAGTAATTACTATATTTAGTTATGTTTTTAAATTATTATTTTTAAAATTTAAAAATTATTTTGATGAAAATAAACACACAAAAGTAATATATTTTTGAAATTCTCAAAAACAATTTTCATTCTCAAAAAAAAATCATATAAAAATGAATATTTTAATTTAATTTTATTAACCAAACGAGTTTATAATTTTTTTAAAAGAAAATAAAAAATGAGTTGCACCTATGTACAGATTGGATTTGTGTTTTAAAGAAAATAAAAACATGTTTGATTTGTACTTGTGCACAAATTGTATTTGTGTTTTAAAAAAAATAAAAACATGTTTGATTTGCACTTGTGCACAGATTGGATTTGTATTTTTTATTTCTTTTAAAAAAAAATTATAAACTCGTTTGGTTAATAAAACTAAGTTAAAAGTCATTATTCTTATATAATAGTCATTATTCATATAATTTGTGTGTGTTTGTTTTCATCAAAATAATTTTTATATTTTAAAAATAATAATTTAAAACATAACTAAACATAGTAATTATTTTTTATTTATTTTAAATTTTTATTAAATATATTTAATATTGGTTTCATTTTAAAAGAGTATATTTTCAATGATATTAATTTTATAAAAATTATATATATTATTAAAATAAAATGAAAAGGATTAAAATAAATTTTTTAATTTTTTATTAGAAATGTGTGAGAGAGAGAGAGTGCGGTGGGACGTGTGCGTGTGAGTGAGGGAGGGAGAGAGAGAGAGAGTGTCCGAGAAAAAGTGTGTTTTTTGAAATTTATCCATTTCTTTGAGGGTGACGTGGCCCAATCTGGACCGTCGCTTGAAAGAAATACTAGAGAGGATTTGAAGTCGGCTAAAGGGTTTTTGCTTTAGTTTCCAAGACAATCAAGAGAGTTATTAAGAAACTATAATCTGCATGATTTTCCACTCCTATTTGGGTTCTGTTAAATATCATGAACAAAAATGTTAGAGATTCTATTACACATTGAGTAGAATTTTTGAGATCTCTAACATTACTCTATCATAAAGCAAAATTTAACCAAAATGAAATAAAAATAAAGTTGCACCATTGGATGACAGAGATGTTACTCTTTCAGGTTTTTGTGCTGATAACAAGTTGCAGAAGATCAATCAACTCAATTCTTGGCGAAAACACACCACTATTAAACAAACAATATGATTAAGAGACCACAATTGAGGCAAAAAAACTGTAACATGAAAGAATATTATTTGTGTTATGAACTCCAAAAAATGTGGCACAAGATCATTCCAACTTTGTCTCGGATTCATGTAAGAAAACCTATTTTAATATGTCCCAATCTCCTTACAATACAACATATTTATGGTTATATAGTTTATGAATTCACCTGACTCAAGTGGAGCTGTTGGCATTCTTGCAGAACTAGAGGCTTGATTGATATTCGATTGTGTAACCCAACACATTTGACATTGCTAATTAACCCTTATAGATGCCAGGATGCTATAGCGATCCCGGTTTTCCTTTCATTGTTTATTGTATTCCGAACTCGGTTCCATCGATGATTGTTGTTGTCTGTATTGCATTTCAGTCCTTTAATTCTTCGAAGTTGAGTTTAGAAATGTCTTGGGCGTGTTTCGAATAGGTTGGTTGAGCTTTTGTCTCTATTATTGTTGCCCAAATTTTTAGTGATCCGCTCGAGCGGAGTTTGCACGTGTGCTTGTGATTGGGGGAGGGAGGGAGAGAGGGAGAGTGTGTGTTTTGAAATTTTTTTGTTTAAAGAAATAAATTTGAGTCATGCATTTTTTGAGGATGACGTGGCCCAATTTAGGCCTTCTCTCGGAAGAAATATCGGAGAGAGAGATGATCTGGACTCCTTTTTTCACCTCTAATCACTCTTTCGCAACCGATTCTGTCTGGCCACCTCTTTTGTCGGCCACCATTTTTGACAATTCCTCATGCTCTGCCCACACCTTCAAGCAACAGGGCCGGCCCTGGGCATAGGCCTATCAGACTATGGTCTAGGACTTCTCAAAATAAATTTAAAAAGAAATTCCTTTTTATTATAATTTAGTGTAATATATTAGATGTGTTTTAAATTTAAAAAAAAAAAATTAAAGAATGCACAAACTAACTTAAAATATATTGATCCATTAAAAAATTGAAAGACTCATTCAAAAAAATTAATATTATTATCCATTGAAAATAAACTCAAAAAAGGGCTCCCTCCTATTATAATTTACTGTAATATATTAGACATGTTTTAAATCAAAAAAAAAAATTAAGAAAGGCCCAAATTAACTTAAAATAAATTTAAAAAATTGAAAGGTCTGTTTAAAATAATTAGCATTGTTATCTATTGAAAATGATTTTATAAAAAACCAAATTATGCAAGCATGATTGATTTATTTACTTCTAAAAATACAAGAAGAGCGAGGATAAAGCGACAGTTATTAGTTGTTGTAATGTAATGCTAAGTATTTTTTGTGATTTTGACACAAATCTTTTGTCTTTTACCTTCAATATTTTTTTTATTTTTTTTCATTGAATGAAAAAAAAATGTGAAGACCCCCAAAAATTTATTAATTGATTATCGGTTTTGGGCCTCAAAAATCTCAAGGCCGGACCTGTCAAGCAATCATTAATTTTTGGCAATTTTTTAACAACTCACAAAATATATATATTTTTCTGGTTTAAACTTTTTAAAACAAATATATATATATATATATGAATATATTTCTTAAATTTCTGTAATTTTTCTTTTTAAAAAGTCACCAAACTTTTATGCATATTTCAAATACTTGGACAAGTCATCCAGTGAATTTATTCGAACTCAATTATTTTGATTTTATATTTAAACTTGAATCATTTAATTCAATATATTTTTTTTAGATAAATAAGTCATAAATTAAAAATAAAAAATATACACAAATAGAAGGGACATGTGCGAGACCCTAACTCCACCTATACAGAGAACAAAATGGGACAAAAATATTTAAACAATCAGCCTAAAAATAGCCTAAAAAGACATGCCAAACAGAGAACAAAATGGGACAAAATAATTTCAACATAAAAAACAACTTCAATATTTGGCTCGTTCAAAAAATATAAATCAATACTTGGCCAAACTTTTAAAAATCAAACCAATTTTTCGCCCAAAATAATTATAAAAAAAAATATTCGAAGACTAATTTCATCAAACGTTCTAAATTTGACCAAAAACTTGATTATATAAAACCAAAATAATAAAAGGTAAAAATATAATAGTAACAAAAAATTAAAAATGATTATTAAGGTCAAATTTGGAAAGTCTCAAAAAAGTCAAAAAGTCAAAAAATTACTTAAAAAATTAAAAAGTTATCACTATTCACCAAAAGTCAACAATTACGACTGCACAACTCCCAATACTACTTTTCCCCTACACATTAATTTATACAATTTTTTAATACACATTTTTTTCATAAAAAGTCAAAAAGTTAACCCAAACATTCATATTTTCAACCTCAACTTTTTAGTTTAAAAAGACAAAAAGTACACTTATTTAGGACACTCCAAACAACCTCTAATTGTACATTTGGTACATGTTATTATGGGGCTGTTTACAGTTTTCTATTTTAGAAATTTGTGTAAGACTGTTTTGTATAACTTTTGCATTATAAGGCATAAATAATTTAAATAAACTGATTATTATTAAAAAGTTAGTTAAAAGTTAATTTTAAATTTTTTAAAATTTTTTTTTTTTCAGAAAATGTGTAAAGAAATGATGTGACATAAAAAAGTAAAAAAACTAATTTTTTGGCTTTTAACCCAATTGCCAAAATAGGCGTAAGGGGAGAGGTGATTTTAGCTTATATAGGGTTATTTTGAGAAGTTGGTTAAAAATTAATTTTTTAACTTTTTTATTTTTTTTGAAAAAATGTATAAAAAATAGAATGATGATATAATCGAAATAAATTAAAAGTTGACTTTTGACTTTTAATCAAACTCCTAAATTGAGCCATTATTTGATTCTCATTTGTCAACTTATTAATATCTAATTATTATTTTTCAAGTTGCTAGAAAGTGCACCAGTTCTTAGAATACTTAGAAAAATATCAAACAATTTTTTATATATTTTTTAAAAAGTAAACTTTAATCATTTCATCAAACTTGTATGAATGTATTAAATCCTTTACTAATTATTTTTCTTCAATCATATTTTTATTCAAATTTAATAAAATTATGAAAAAAAATAGAGATGATTTTTTAAATATAAAATGGTTAGAATAGATTTTTACGATAATTTTAGAATGTTAAAAAAAATTATGAAAAAGAGAGACTAGGGATTAAAGTGTTTCATATTGGATCAAACTTTTAACCAAATGTCCATCAAATTTGAGGGAAAAAAAAAAAAAAAAAAAAAAATCGTAAGAATTGGAGGTGTTTTTTATTTTTATATCTGTCTATTTAATAATACAATATTTTAGAAAAATTTTAAAAATTAAAAATTGATAAAATACAAGTTAAACATATGTGGTACAAATTAGAATTATTCAGTGTGTTTGGTTTGAGTTTTTTGAAAATTGAATTTTTTAATTTTCATATTTTTTTGTTTTTAGTGAATATTTTTAAAATTTTAAATATTTTTTTTACTTTTTTAGATGCACCTTATTTAGATGTATCTAAAAAGTAAAAAAATTGTGAAAAAATATTTTTAAAAATTAATAAATACATAAAAATATAAAAAATATACTGAATTCTCGTATTTTTTGTATTTAGTGAATTTTTAAAAGATTTTTTTCAATTTTTTTTTTTTACTTTTTAGGTATATGTATGTTAGGTATGTTTAAAAATTAAAAAAATTGCTCAAAATATTAAAAAAATTCAGTAAAAACAAAAAAAACGGAAAATAAAAAAGTAGAATTTTCTGAGAAGTATTTTTGAAAAATGATAACCAAGCATAGTGATTATTATTTTGTTTAAATCACATTATAATAAGTCTCACAATTTTAGTATAATTAAAGCATTCTCTTGGTTATTTTATAGTACAAAATTATAAAAAAACACTCCACCAAACTTAATTATTGACTAACTATTTTAGTTGAATATCAAATTACTAGCTACATATAACTAGGAAAAGAGGAGTCAACAAATGAAATAAAGAATAGAAAGTTGGTTGGAGAATGTATTGAAAATGATGGTTAACTAAAATAAAAAAATAGACTTTTAATTAAAATTTAATTAAAAATTTGATTATTTTAATGAAAATGCTCTTATACCTACTTTAATTTTAGTAAAATTAAAAACTAACAAAGATAGTATTAAGGCATAATGATAAATAAGGAATAATATGTATTTCATTTTTATTTATCATTTATCTAAGAGAAATTGTAAAAATGTGTAACAGAGCTTAAAAAATTAAAAAATAATCTTCACATCTCTGTTCTCTCTCTCACGGATTAGTTTGGTATTGACTTTTTAGTGAATTTTTTGTGTTGATATTTTTTTAGGTTGACTTTTTTAATCTCGATTTTTATTTCAGAATTTTTTTTATATTTTTGTGGAGAAATTTTTTAAATAATTATAAAGAAAAAGTAATATTTTATTTTATTGACTTTTATAATTAATTTTGTGTTTTTATGATTATTCAACTCCAAAGCAAATGCCAAGCCAGGGCTCATAGAGCTAGCTTATTTTCAACGCAGCCTCAACTAGAATTCACATATACTTCTTCAATTCACAGCTGCGTAGTTTGCTCTTCTAATCCTAAAAATCCATCATCGAATCGAAGAAGATCGAAAATACAGTGAAAGATGTCGTGGCAAGCATATGTGGATGATCACTTGATGTGCGAAATCGAAGGCAACTACCTCTCCGCCGCCGCCATCATCGGTCATGACGGCAGCGTTTGGGCCCAAAGCTCCTCCTTCCCTCAGGTTTCTTTTCATCTCCAAATTTATTCAATTGGGTTTGGTTCCTTGATCTGAACCACCATGTCCTTTATTGTTCATTTTTGATGTGTTGTTGTAGTGAAAATGATGAGATATCTGAAGCTATTTAACTTTTGTAATTATTATCGGTTCCATCGAATTGATTTCTGTAATTTGGATCTGGGTTTTTCTCTTTATTTCGAGTGTTTTATTTATTTTTGTCTGGATTTGCTTGGTTTGCCCATTCTTCAATTAGAGTATATATATAATATATACACATTAATACACTCACCAAAATTGATATATACAGAAAAAGAATATACGAATTCTATTTTCTAGAGCATAAGCTGAGAAAGCTGATATTTCTTCCAATTTTTTATGTTTTATTTTTTTATTCTGGGTTTGTTTATTTGTTTGTGTTGTATAATTATACAGGCCCGTGTAGATTTTACTTGTTTTTGGGTGCTCAATAGGCTTGCAAATAATTCAATTACGTTTCATTTCATATCCAAAATAGTATTTTTGGATCGAGGTTTTTGGGTGGTTATTGTGCATATATATACATTAATACACTCACAAGATGGATATTTACACAACATATTTATATATATATATATATATATGAATTATATTTTCAAGATTAAGCTGAGAAAGCTGATATTCCTTCCAATTTTTTATTCAGGTGTGTGTAGATTTTACTTGTTTTGGGGTGCTCAATAAGCTTGCAATAACAAGCCCTTTGTTTACTACCCTTGTCTCTGATTTTACTAGAAAGAACAGGTTTGGCCACACCCAACATTCTTTTTAAGGGCATGGGTTTTATTTCAGCCACTTTGCTTCATTTGTCTAAATTTATATGCCCCATGGTATAATGGGGACAAGAAAGCATTGTATCAATTCAGTGGAAGTGGAGTGAGATGTTGAGCATTCATGAAGGAACCACAAATTGCTTTTTGGTTGCAACTACTGAGTTCTAATTGGGAGGCTAATTATGTGACTCTGATTGTCTTTAGGATTGTTGAATGATAAATTTTCAGGAGACATTGGACTCGTTCAATTTTTTCCATATGTTGTACATGACAAAAATATTCACACAAGTTTAGGGTTTGGAATCCATATTACCTAGGAGGTTGTGATTGTCTATTATGTATTCTTTCATTATTATGTCAAATATATTTTTTCATAACTGATACTGTGTCCTTGATTTTATGGATGTAAACAATGAGTGCATGGCCTTACTTCTAAACTTTGTATGCAATTGTTCTGCTCGCGTGTGTGTGCATTGTGTGTATACTGATGCATGTTTTGAAATTGTTCTGATTAAAAGAACAGTCTCATATGTTTTGCTTTCTGTGTATGTTTTAGTAATCAAGTTGGTCTAGGGGTGGATAATTAATTGGAGCATCCACTAGCTGTCTACAGGATACATAAATATGATTTATATAAGTTTTTTCTTTTTATTTCCTTTTGTGGAACTTACATTAACTGTTTATTTGATTGATTTTGCAGTTCAAGCCTGAAGAAATAGCTGCAATTATGACTGATTTTGCTGCACCTGGGTCACTTGCACCGATTGGCTTGCACTTTGGTGGCACAAAGTATATGGTGATCCAAGGTGAACCAGGGGCTGTTATAAGAGGAAAGAAGGTAATGGTTCAATTGACTTCACACCGTATTACTTCATACTTTGTATTACATTATATAAGAATGCGTTTTTTCAAAAAATTTATTGTTTTGGATCAGTCAAACTAAAAAAATTAATTTATTTGTATTGACTCTTGTAGTTATCATCTTAGAACTCTATATCTGGGAATCAAGTTATGGCATGTTAGAATGGCATTGTCTACCTTTTAACATGATATTTCTACGTAATAATTATCATGTTAAGTGGAACTGTATTAAAGTTCATGTATTTGTGAATTCATGGAAACCTAAAATGACAGTACTGGGGGGGCTATGGTAATTTCTTATATTTTGTCATGGCATAAATTTATGCGATGGATTTTCGTGTTAGATAACACAGGAGCACAAAAAGGCCATCCAAATTCAAAGGAACTTCAAAACCATGCCTTGGATTTATGCTCCTGGCACAGATGACTATAACATCTACGAGTCCCAGAATTACGTGGACCCATGGATATGTATTTTCCAATTAGCTCTATTTCTCAGTGAAGTCTAAGGCTATTATAATTTATATCTGGTCTGAACCCATGTTGTTTTCAGCTTTTGTTTTGTTCTGTTTTCCACTTAGACCCAAATTCGCCATTCTATGATGCATAAGGCTCCACTTGCATGCATGCATTCCTTTTCTTGTGTTAAATCTTCTCTTTTAGACCACTTTTACATTTCAATATCTTCATTTCAAACAGACTCATTTGTTGCATATGTCATTCTTAACTGCGGCACATATATGGTGCTATAAAACACAGCTAGCCTTATAGTTCTTCCCTATAGGGTATAGAGTTTCCCTCCAGCTTAACAAGAGTTCTATGCTGTTAAAACTCCCAAAACATGTTTCTACTCTATTGGTCAGGCAACATCCTTCTAAATCTCCCGTGAATGATAACCAATCTGAAATGAATGTTGTCTTGAGACACAAACACTATTAACTAAAACTCTTATGCACTCATGGCCAAACATGATTGGCTGCTCAAATATTAATGTACTTTTCATTTTCTGGGCAACCAATCATGTTTCGCAATGTATACATTTAGCAAGAGTTTAAAAGTGTGTGTCTCCAGAGTCTACTCTTATTCATCTGACATTCCAGTTCCAAACTGTTGTCTATTTAAGAAAGAAAAATGGTGGTTTTATAGATGATGTTGCTCTCTTTAGAATTCTAGTAATACAGTGTATCATGTTAGTGAAATGTATTTGCTATTCTAGTTCACTTAAATTTGCTATGGTTATTTGGGATGTGGTTGGTTGCACAAGAGATGATTGCCATTGTGCTGGTCCTGGTGCCACATTTGTTGATAAATCAAGTGCCAACATATTGAATTAATACCAGTTTGTATTCTCTTCGACTTTGGCTGATAACTTGCAGTTTGTATTTTGACCCTTTTACTGTTTATCCTATGGCCTTTGTTGTTTTGATTGTTCTTAATTTTAGTTTGAAAAAGATTGTGATAGTATAGCTTTGATATTCCAAATTTGAAAATGACAATATAATTCAATTAATACCCAAATTTCTCATCATATTGTGCCAAAACTAAACTACTATATTTGTTTGTTTTCAGGGCCCTGGTGGTGTTACTGTCAAAATGACCAGTCAAGCTTTGATCATTGGAATATACGATGAACCTATGACCCCTGGCCAGTGCAACATGATTGTGGAAAAGCTTGGTGATTATCTCATTGAACAGGGTCTCTAGTTGCATTTGTTTGTTTTTTTGCTTTTATTTTCTTTTCTCCATTTCTTTTCTTCTCTCTCTCTCTCTCTGGAGCCTGCATCCATCTATTAGAAGTTGGAATTGTTGCGATGTTGTTGTATTTATATCTTTCAAAGTAGTGGAGAACTTGGTGTGGATTGTTGCTTGGAAAATGAAGAATTTGGTCACTTCCTTTGTCAGTGTACCCTCCCTTTGAAAGGGGTTATGTTTGATATTTGCTGTATCGTAAACAATTACTGATTTTGGGCTTTAATGGAAGTGTTTCTGTTAGATTGAAAATTCATATTCATGTAATATTATTATCTTGTTCACTGTTGGGAGTTTGATGTGAAAGCATTTCTCCTTGATATTGAAATAGCCAATGTTGTTACCTGTTTTGTTACCTTTCATTTTCCGTCCATTTGAAATTAGATGTCTTCTTTCCACAATATATATATATATATATATGTTTGCAACTCATCCAAGTAATTTATGTTTTTGCTTATAGTTTTTTCTTAATTTAATTCGGTTCAAGGGGCAATACAAGAGAGTGAAAAAAGTATAATGTAAAGAGTGCAAGGGAGTTTCTATTTGTATACACCATACTTTTTCTTAACTAAAACACAATTTTGTAAGTTATATTTTTTACCATTTTATTTCCATAATACCCTTACTATTACACTGTATTTGGTTAGAAGATTTGAGGAGAGATTTAGAAAGGAAAAGAAAAAAAGAATGTAAAATTAGGTAAAATGTAGATATATTTTATTCACATTTTATTTACTTTTTCTATTTTTCTTTTCAAATTCTTTCTTATATCTCTCAATCAGGCACCGCATAAATCTTCAAATCCTAATTTTAACTCACTCCGGCCACCTCTGTTGGTTTTGGGGCCTTGCCCCCTCTCCTCCGCCACCCTCACCACTTGTCAACTCCTTCATCTTCCATCTTGTTCCTCTCCATCACATCTCTTCCACCTCGTTGGATCTAAAAGCTTACCCCTAACCTTTTTCTTCTTCTTCTTCTTCCTCCACAGTGATGGAGTTGGCAGTGGTGGGTTGGGAGGAGGGTGTTGTCCTTGATGGTAATTTGCTTGAAAGATTGAATGGACTACCATTAAGACCTTGTTTGTTTTAATTTGAAGGTGGTAGGATACTAAAAATTCAATAGATCCCACATAAATTATGTTTATTTGGAACCATACGAATCCCCCTCCAATGGATATTAGCAATCTCATGAGGTGGTTGGGTTTCACAATCCAATTTTATAGAATTGGAGATAAAAATATCATTTCTCTCACACTTTATTTTAATAACATACTTTTTATATATTAAAAAGTTTTATGTAAATTCATAAATTTAATCTCAACTAACTAATATATATTATCATACTGTTACACAAACAAACACAATTTGACATATATCTCTAATCTAATACCCATTATACTAATGATCTCATCCAATCCAACGTAATTCAACTAACAAACAGACTTCTACGATGACCCACTTAATGTGTTGCTATTTCTCATTTATTGAAAGCACCACATAAAAAACACTAAGAATGAATATGATACGGACTGAGCCAAGTTTAAGTTAGGCTTATACTATACAATAACACTTCAAATAATTTTTCAAATCTAGCCCAATCTCAGATCGAGCTTATATTTTAATACCAAGCCCATCAAAAAAAAAAAAATGATAATCCCAGCCATACAACCCTAATATTATTTAATATATATATATATATATATTTATTTTTAATCAACGAGTGTGTTTTTTAAGCTCAACCCATATTATAATTGAACCTTAAAAAAAAAAAAGGCAACACAATCGGTTTAAACTACGATTTCAAATCTTAAAATTTAGGATAAATTACAAATATATCTCTTGAATTTTGTTTAAAATATAATTTGCCTCCTCTAATTTTGAAAATTATATCCCATCTCTTGAAATTTCTATTTTCATAACAAATAGCCTTTTTTTTTCATTAATAAATTATCTAGTCAATTAACAGTTTCTAATGATATGAGAGATTTATTTCAATTAATAATTTATGTTATTTCTTATTTTTTTCAATTAATTCTGTTAAATAAAAAATTATGACAAAAAAAGTATTTATAATTTTTCAAACAACATGACAATTTATATTTTAAAAAAATCTTAAAAAATATATTTGTAATTTATCCTACAATTTATGGATAGATTTGGGCCTGTTTTGCAATTATTAGGCTTACACAAGTTCAAACTTAAATAAGTAAACAAATAATCAACGGTGGTGCATGTAGCGTACCCATTAGTGTATTAACACTAGTTATGATATTATTATTGACCCTATTTATTAATCATATTACAAATTTTAAAAACTTTTTAAATTATGCAATATCATTAATTAATATAATAATTAGTACATATAGGATTATTCAATAATCAATGACTACAAATAACTCACAATAATAGAAAAATAAATTACCATATCGGATCCTAACAACTCATACTTAACCTGTAAACAATATGACATGTTACTCCGAAATGGAAAGGACCATATAATCGTCACGAAAGAAATGCTTGCGTGGCTTCTTGCAGCCTAACAAGCTTTACATAAGAGTAATATTATAATTTTACAATTTTTATCTCAAATTTTATTTAGAAACATTAATTTATAAGTCAGATTCATTTTGTATTTGAACTCACGTAATATCAATTTAATCTCTATCATTAATCATAATAAAATTTTCTAGGACGGTAGGATTTTCCTTTAAATAAACCACAATTATTAGTCTCAAAATAATTCTTAAAGATAGAGAGAAAGCGTATGAAACTGTGACAAATATGGAGAGCGAGAGAGGTGGGAATTGAAAATTTTAATAGATGTGGACTAAATTTTTTTTTAATTTTAAAGACATATACTAAGAAAATTTAAATTTGAAGTGGGATGTGTATAATTATAATATGTCTATAAATGTCTTTTCTCTGCATGAAAAAAATTGTCCTTATGACAATATACTGTAATTGTTTAAAGGGGGGATTCTCACCAAATGCCCGAAAATAATTCTTATGTGTTGAAAATTTTTACTTGTTCATGAAGCAATCCTTCATGTCAATCATAGATCAATTGATTTGGAGCAAATTGCATTGAAGAACACAAGAACATACACCTAATTTCTTGATTACTTGTCACACAAGAAAGGTGAAGAACATTGAGAAAATAAAAGGGCAAACGGTTTTTCCCATATAATGCAATGAATAAATTCAACTCTTCTCATAATCAATGGTAGAACATACTTACATACATAATCCTAAACAAAATTTGAGTGAGTCAATTTGTCAAACAGCTTATAAGCAATACCTAATATAAAAAAAAAAATACTTAATTACATCATATAATTCAATTAAATTCATCATCAAACAAGTAAAGAATCAACAAAACCGTCATCGATTTTCTCAGCCACTTTCGCTGCGATCTCTTCAAGCCCTTTCCTCAAGATTTCCAAATCTTCAATGCTATCACTCGCATCGAATTGCAGAGCATCCAACCAGGAACTCAACCGGTGGTGGTTCGCGGCGGCAGCCTCACAACCCTCTTCTGCCTTCTCTCCGGCGGCGGCAGTGGTGTTGAGGTAACGATCGACAAGGGCGTCAAATGAGGGCTTGCCGTGAGTGTAGGGACGGCCAGTGGGAGAGAAGATGAGGATAGCGATGTTGGCGCCAGTGAGGGATCGAAGTTGTCGGGCTATGTTGAAGAGACCATGACGTCTCTTGGAGAATGTAACCATTCTCTGCCCTTCCTTCTCTACTCTTTTAATCTCAATTTTCTCTTTTCCGCTTCCCATCTTCTCCTTAATTTCACTCTCTCTCTAACAAAACTCAACTCCTTTAAATAAGCCCTAAGTCGGTCTATGTCTCTCCGTAAGTTTCACTCTCACTCACTCACTCTCTCTCTCTCTCTGAAAACAAGACTCCTTTAAATAATCCCGAACAAAAGGTCGGTCTCTGTCTCTCCAAAACAATACGCATGCGTCCATGCCAAAATTTTGGCAAATTTTATTCACACAAATTTTTTTTTTAATTTTTGTATATATTTCTCAATACACATTCTTATAAAATTAATTTTATATTTTTGTTCTCAGTACATCCCTCTCATGTTCCAATTATATCATAAACTAACACTCTTGTACACACACCACTTAACCATTTGTTCCACAGAGAATCGATTGTATGGACTTATTTTTTATTCCACCGACCTTGAAAACACAGCAACATCTTTCACAAGAAATCCCTCAACAAATCGCTCCATGGATCTTCAGATTATACAACAAACTACCTCCTTTGATTTCTAGTTACATCATCAAATTGATTCTTTCAATCAACAATCTAATTAACATCGAAAAAGTCATTAATTGGCATCGACTTGTATCAATATAGATCTTGAAACAATATCGTTTTATTTCAAACTCTATTAAAGACGTACAACTCTATCTATCTCTTATTTTTCATAAACTCTCATTTTTTTTTGGAAACAATTCGATTTTCCTTATTCGGTACTGGTTATTCGAATGAAAAAGGTTTATTTGATTTTTAACTTTCGAAACATGTAAAAAAAATTCAGAACTTGGTTTCCAAAATAAATTCTTAAATTCGAAAGTTGAGTTTCGATATCCAAATTCGGAACTTGATTTTCGAATAGAATTAATAATTTCGGCAGTTGATATCCGAAAAAAGGTAACATGTTTCGGCAATGGTTTACCGAATTAAAATCATGAAAAATAAAAAATTGCACAAAAAAACTTATATTTTCATTACTACTTTTGTTGTAACCAGGCATATTATTATTTGAATTTGAATTTCCATTGATTTGCAACTCTTTCATCACTAAAATTAAGAATTATGGTGGATTCTAATGACAAAATGATATAATCATGGGAGTATAAATTTAGACACTAAAGTAATATGAGAGTACTGCTTTGCAGGCAATAGATGACTAACAATGGAGGAAGTGAGAAACAATAGAAAAATTAGGGTTTAGTTTTTTTTTTAAACTTCAAACATGTGCACTGAGTTTTTTTTTTTAATTTTTAAATAATGTGTACAAAAAAAACTTTGATTCAATGTTAATGATGTGTTTTGATGTCTATTATGGTCATTTTACTTAGGGTAAAATTATCATTAAAATAATATTTTATTAAATGTGTACATAGAGATAAATAGATGTATGGAAATAGAATTTCTCCAAAATTTTGAAAACCTATTAAACCATGAGAATTAACTCAAAAGACATAAATACCCCTTGATATAATTCTACTATCTTCCGTCCCAAACAAAACAACAATTCATCATATTCACATTACTATTACAATTCTCATATTAATCACTTCATTAACCACCTGCTACCACTTCATCATTAAGTTGATATTTGAGCTAAAATAACAAAAAATTATTCTCTATTTTTTTTTTTTTTGTATATTTTTTCGTAATAAGTAAAGATGCTAACTGAAATAGTCAATTTCCAAATGAGTCCTTAGTTAATTATGAATTTTTAAACACAGTTTTTATTTTGTTATTTTTAGTAAATTTTTAAAAATATCTTAGTCAAAATTTTTGTTAGTTGAATTTTATTTTATTTTTTGACCAGCAAAAGAAAATATTATTGATGAACCAAAGAGAATTACAACAATAGAGAAATCGGTAAGTACAAAAAGTATCAAAGCGAAAACAAATCAATCTCAACTAAGTTGGCACCGATAAGTCCGCCCTATCATCTGCTAGCACACCATCAAGAGTTGGTAAGTAACCAACCGCAAAAAACAATCAAAACAGAGGACACACAGCCAAGCACACACAAGAGCTCCAATGCTGATATAAGACATACAACACAAACCACCACAGCAACCTTCCTCAAGAGAGCTTGACAACATAACAAGAGGATACCAAAACTCTCCTGCATTCAGATCAAGGATACCAAAACTCTTTTGTTAGGTGTATTTAATTAAATATATTTAAAAAATAAAATATTTATGAAAAAAAATCTAAATATATATAATAAATATAAAAAAAATACTAATATGTATTGGATTTTTGTATTTTGTGAAATTTGACAAATAACTCTTTAGTTTTATCTAGGTTGTTATACATCTAAGAAGTAAATAAATTTGACTGAAATATTAAAAAAATTTACTAAATTTACAAAAATATAGAAAACAAAAAAATAAAAAATTTAAAAATTATTTTGAAAACTCAACCCAAACTGAGTGATTATTCTTCCTTCTATTCTATTAATTCATGAATTGCTTAATTTCCCCCTTTTCCTATTCTCTTTACTTTATTAATTTTTTCACCATAATAAAGTTTCTCAGAAATTTAAAAATGAAAAAAAAAAATAAAGGAGAGAAGAAATTTTGTTGTTTATTATTGACTTTAACTTTTGAATTTCTTGCATAATGTGCAATATATCTTCAAGATAATTGGAATAAGAAAACTTCGTACATAGGAAAAAAAATTCCTTATAAATAGAATTTTTAACAATTCAACACCATTTTAAACCACATATTCTTATTGCAAAAGTCTAAAGGGAGCAAAAATGAGCACTGAAAAATATTTAAAATGTCTTGTACGGTGAAAATTTATTTAAATCTAGCTTCTGTGCCACGATTAAAATAAATTATAATTACATAATGCACTCATTTTGAGTTTGATGTTAATTATACTTGAAATAATTTCAATTATAATATATATTGTATATTATAAATATTTTAATTATATGTACTTAATTTTTTTTTTTTTTCTCTTTAAACCTCCATTCAAAGAATGTTAGAAAATAAGGTGGGAAGAGTTATATATATCCCTTTTGTGAGGAAGTATTGTATTTGTTTGAGAATACAGATGCTATGATGATATAATTTATAAGGATATATTTGGGAAAATTGTAAATACATGGGGGAAAATTTTTGCACTACAAGTGAATTTTTTTTTTATTTTTTACACAACTCTGATATATAGAAAGAGTTGCACTACACACAATAATATATTTACGCCACGCACATAATAAAATTATACCATCATAAAAATATAATTTTTTTTTACTGCTGTACTGGAATATAATTTCTCTTATATATTTAAGCTTCATATTATAAAGATGTGGTGAAAAAGGAAAGAAAAGACAAGTTGACTTTATGAATGCCATTATGAAAATTCTACTTGTTTACAATTTTTCAAAAATACTTTTCAAAAAATTTTTAGTTACACTTTTCAAAAATCTTTTTGATTGTTTATTATGAGTGATTCTACTTATACTATTACTTTATCTTTTTATACCTTTTATCTCATTACACCTCTAAAAAAAATGTGATTTTCATTGTACCTGTTATATTACCAAAACTAATCATAAAATAAGACTCTTCAAAATCCTTTTATCTCTTTATACCAATAGCTTTTGGAGGAAAATAGGGGAACGGAGAAGACGCAAGGAAGACAATGAATGGAGCTCACAGCGAGGTGTCTGTTTGGTTACACAATGCAAAACAATTTACATTCCTCCGGCGTTATGTTACTGGAAAAAAATAGATTTATCCAGCGTTTTATTATTATACATTTAGAGAGTCACTTTCTTCCAAACAATGATTTTTAAATTTGTGCCGGGTGTGTTCGATAATACAATGCTAATGAATTTGAATTAATCTAATGTTATGTTACTAGCCAAATTTTTCTTTCCTAACAATATGTTGTCATTCCTAAAAAAATTGTATTCATAAAAAAGCTTAACAAATCTCGTTTATAATGAATTCATGAATAGAGTCTACTAATAATGCAGTACTTATTGTTGCAATGAGTAGAAGTATAATCTTTCCAATCAAAAAAATAATAAAAAAATAAAACTGAAAATACACAGTAATGAGTAGCCGAAAAAATTAAAAAAATCCGACCTTGGGTTACCGAAAATGTATCTTTTATTTGACTGTTGGTTACCAGACATATATTTTTTGTTCGGCAATGTGATGTTATACTATTTTATTTTGTTCGATTTTGAAATATTGAATAAAACTCGAAGAACAATCCAAAAAAACGAAACAAAACTCTACCAAACAAATAAAAAAATTCACAATTTCACTTTTTTAAGGAATCTTCACCACCGTTTCTTCATCCATGATTTTCTTCTATGATCAAAATATTATAATTCTCATTTTTTAAAAAGAGATGTGTAAGAGAAAAGAAAAATTGAGAAAGAAAGAAGATGAGTAAGGATTGAAGACTAATAGAGGTAAGGAGATAATAAAATATTTTTAATTTTAGTATTTTATCCTTAAAAGTAATTTCACACATAGGTTAAATTGGAGAAAAAAAAATTATCATATAAAAAGTATAAAGAAATAAAGTAGTGATGTAAGTAGAATAATTCTTTATTATAGATCATGTGCTCGATACACGTGTTGTTATGTCAATTGGCTCAATTTATATATTTATTTATTTACGAGCTACTCTTTGTTGGTTTCTCACTTCGCACGGTATATCATTCTTCGGATCTTCTAAAATGATTTATGATACGTCCAATTTCTAAATTTAGTGATGCGTCAATAAATTAATTAATTGATGATTAGAGAATAAATATAAAAAAAACAAGAATTGACTTAAATATTTTAATAGAGTGACACATCATTAGGTTTTGATAGTAGATCTAATTTTTGGACTTAAATAGTAATGCTCTTAATCTTAGGAAAATGATATATATGCCCATTTTGTAGATCCAATGATGTGTTAGTAAGTTGATTGGTTGATGATTAGAGAATAATAAGAGAGAGTTGTCTTAAATATTTTAATAGAGTAACACATCATTAAGTTT